GGAGGTTGAGAACGTCCCAGTCATCGCTATTGTTTACTGCATGTAAACGTGTCTGACTTTCCGCTGATGATGTAGAAGATTAGAGGCTTCGTAGTACATCCTAGGGCAAGTAATACCTTACTTCGTATTAAGGAGGTACTGTGTATAAGGATGGACCGTACCTTACATAGCCGCCGGCAACTGGCCATCGGGTCACAGAAGAACTTGTAATGTGATTTCGTACAGTACGGTAACCACCGATCTCTGCACCCTTTGGCCCTTGTGGTTATCCGCCGCGGGGCTCAAGAATTCAGGCTCCAATTAAATCGGAACAAGGGAATCACGGACATGGACAATCACAGCAGCTTAAGAACCCCGAGGAACCCTCACTCACAACAACAACACCCTACGTCTGCTTATCTGGACATTATTACGACACTTGCGTCTCCGAAATCTTTTCTTTTCAACCATCAACGCTCGAAACCCCCGCCATCGAAATCCCCAACTTCGCACCCTGCTGCGTCGCCGACGATGGACAAAGCGCAGCAGCCTAGCTCTTTTCAGCAGCTGGAAAAGGTGCGCGCGTCTTTCATTCTTCATATATGCAATCCGTGGAGGGAAGTGTGAAACTAATCCGCCTCTAGCTTGGAGAAGGAACGTATGCCACTGTACGTTAAACCCCCGGAGTTACACCACTCTGACCTTTTCTCCGCGACCGTATCGCCCGGTATCATGTTTCATGCTTTTGCTCATACAGACGGTTGCAGGTATTCAAGGGCCGGAATCGTCAGACTGGTGAACTAGTGGCTCTGAAGGAAATTCACCTCGATTCCGAGGAGGGGACACCGTCGACGGCCATTCGAGAGATATCATTGATGAAGGAACTCAAGCACGAGAGCATTGTTTCACTTTACGACGTCATCCATACCGAAAACAAGCTGATGCTCGTTTTTGAATATATGGACAAGGATCTGAAGAAGTACATGGACACCCGAGGCGAACGGGGACAATTAGACCAGGCGACGATCAAGTCATTCATGCACCAGCTCCTCAAGGGCATCGCGTTCTGTCACGAGAATCGAGTCCTCCACCGCGACTTGAAGCCCCAGAATCTCTTGATTAATAAAAAGGGGCAACTCAAACTAGGAGACTTCGGTCTTGCCCGGGCTTTTGGCATTCCCGTCAATACATTCTCGAACGAAGTAGTGACCCTATGGTACCGCGCCCCTGACGTCCTCCTCGGCAGCAGGACGTATAATACAAGCATTGATATTTGGTCTGCCGGGTGTATCATGGCGGAATTGTACACTGGCCGTCCACTGTTCCCAGGCACCACCAATGAGGACCAGTTGCAGAAGATCTTCCGTCTCATGGGAACGCCGTCAGAGCGCTCGTGGCCGGGTATCTCTCAGCTGCCCGAATACAAACCCAATTTCCACGTTTATGCGACACAAGACCTAGGCCTCATATTGCCCCAAATCGATCCTCTCGGGCTCGATTTGTTAAACAGGATGCTCCAACTACGACCAGAGATGCGGGTTAGTGCCCACGACGCACTGCAGCACCCGTGGTTCCACGATCTGCCTCAAATGCAGGCTCAGCTGCAGCAACAGCAACAGCAACAGCAAATGTCCGGATATGGCGGGATGGTTGCTTCCCAGCAGGCGTATTAATAAACCGGGGACTTGTCGTTTCGTTTCCGCTTCTTTCCTTTTACTTTTTTTAACCTATCTTTTCCCCCTATCATTTTTTGACAGAAATGACGCGACGACGGGTCTGTTTTAGATTGGGGAGGGAGCATGGCGTTATACCTGAGAACAAAATTCGCATTAAATACTTATACTGGTTTTGTTTATCTGGCTGCACAGTTCGCTGCATGGCCACGCACAGTGATCTACCCCACGATATTCCGAATAGAGCACCATATTGGTACTTTGTCATTATTAGGATGTCTATACGACATTGCATACGAATCGCGGTAGTTTTTGGCCGATACCCTACAGTTCTTATTGAAATAAAAGACTGGGTCGATGAATGAGGGCTTAGCTACCATTAACCATGCCTTGTTTTCTTTCTTCCCTCTTCTACCTCTTTCTTCGTTCTTATTATCGCATGGCTCACCGTGACCATAATCGGCTACCTGGCTGATGCTTGGGAGCGTGTTTGCTTTGTTTTCTATGTTCTTTATCTCCCCTCTCAAGGGCAATTGTCTATTGGGCAAAGGCTGGAGTCGGCGAGGATATAATTCGAGACAAGCTTGATACACGTCCCTTTGTTCTTGCAACAACCGTGGGTCATTCCCAACACTCGTTATGCAAATGTTCTTTGTGTCCTGTGGATCACAGGGCTTTCGTGGCGTTCATTTGCCCGTACCTTTTCTTTTTGCACACGGGATCATCCTTTCTCTCTAAATATTATTTGCTGCACTAAGGCAGGCATAGCTTATTGCGGACTAGTCAGCTCCATGGTCACTTTCTGCCACTCCAGACATGACGATATACCATTGTAGGAGGAGGCTTATTGAGGGTGGAGATGCATGATCCCTTCGGGATTTTAAGGTCGGACTAACTCGGAGTGGTGACACGCAAGGGACTCTCCTCGACGAGTATACGGTAACGATATCGTGGATATAGAATATGTTCAATATACTTATGTTCTTCCTATGTATGTACACTTCTACTTCGGAAAGACAGGGGTAAAGACTGCCAAGCACTGGATGGGCTGCGAATGAACCGGGGGTAATTATTGTTTTATTTCTTTTTATTTATTCCTTTTTTCTTTTTTTTTTCACTTTCTTTGCGAAGGTTGGGTTCATTCTGGAAATGAAAAGTTATTTCCCACCAACCAACGGGAGAATCACGCCCTTGCACTAGCCAATGCCCTACAAAGTGCGTGACCAGTCCTCCTCGCCAGAAATCCTATATCATACTCTCGGGGTTTGATTGAAGTTTCTTTCTGGTTCATTTTAGGTTATTTCTCCATATTATTCAAGGACCGGTGTGATAGGGCGAAAAGTATGAAATGGAAAGGTCAGGATTTTCCCCCATTACTATACAGATATACTAATCGAACCCTATTTCGGAACAAACTTTACCAGCGTCCAGGACCCAAAGGATCTCCTTCAATTCTGCCTCCTCCACAAATGAGCGCTCGTACAGTACAAACCCATGTGGAGCCGAGACGACGGTTGCGGTTCCATCTGCCCAACTCATGAAAGGTCGAACCCTCGCTGGGACCCTCTGATCCCTTTGTCTGGCTGTGGGCGATTTCTCCACATATGTTCATGTCGTCATGTTTTAAAGAGGACTGTGCCCCATATATGGTACTGTGATGCGAGGTACCTCCGATACACGTCAGATCCTTTACACCCTCTTGGGCATCCTCGCCCGCAGAGCTGGTCTTGTTCTTCCTAATCAATCAATTTACTATATTTGCCATTCGGGTGATAGATGGCAAGGGGCTTTGCTCGTCCCCACGTATACTAGAACGGAATTGGCTTCTGTATAGCTACTTGGACTGTGGCTTTCTGCGCGTGATACCCAGATACCAACTTTGTCATCTGTTTCGCTATCGGGTTCAGCATGGTCTTTTCGCAATGTCTCTGTCGGAACAACAACTATATGCCATCTCAGTAACCGAACGGGTTTGCTCGGCCATCTCTCTAACCGGCACCACCATCATTGTCGTCTCCTTCCTTGGTTCAAGTGCTTTCCGCAAGCCCATCAGCCGTCTGGTGTTTTACGCCTCTTGGGGCAATTTGATGACCAATATCGCAACCGTCATTTCTCAATCAGGCATTCACATGGGGCTCGACAGTCCCCTGTGTCAGTTCCAGGCCTTCTTGATCCAATGGTTAGTCCGAAGAAGCTGAGAGACAAAACGACGGTGGTTCACTCAGCAGCTTGCTAATGGCGTGACAGGTTCATGCCCGCCGATGCCCTATGGACTTTTGCCATGGCCTGTAATGTTTACTTGACGTTCTTTTACAAATACAACTCCGATCAACTGCGACGGCTCGAGTGGAAATATCTCATCTTCTGCTACGGACTGCCTCTCATCCCCTCTGTCGCGTACTTCTTCATCAAGACCAAGGCCCGGGGCAAGGTCTACGGCTATGCGGTGGTAAGTGACCGAACCTAGTGAGATAAACAAGTCCTCACATATGGCTGTAGCTCTGGTGTTGGGTTGCGCAAACCTGGGACTGGTTACGGATTGCGGTCTTCTACGGCCCAGTCTGGTTCTTTATTGTTTTGACGCTGGCCATCTATATCCGCACTGGCGGTGTCATCTGGGAAAGACGACGCCAACTGCGGCAGCTTGACAACCTCGACTCGGCAGATTCCTATCCCAGGTATGAAGGCGAGCCGACCGCAGAACATTATGAGGGGCTCGAGATGCGCGATGCCGAACGCCCCCTCGAGCCTACCTACAGTAGGGCAACAACGGAAATCCGCGTAACGAGTGAAATTACACGCCCCCAACAAGGGCATTACCCAACTGCCGAAGAATTGAGTAACCCTGTATCCCCATTCTACAACCCGTACTCTGTCACCATCGAGGGCGGCTTCATGAGCAGACAGTTCAGTGGCATCCCGTTAAAAGCAATGAAACATTCTCATTCGGAGTCATGGTCCCGCCGCCGTACAATGTCCGACACAAGTACGGCGGCTTGGGCTTATACAAAGTATGCGATGCTCTTCTTCATTGCCTTAATTGTCACCTGGGTTCGTAATTACTGTGGTCAACTCTAGCTGAAATCATGGCTAATGGGCTCCAGGTGCCTTCGACGATTAACCGGGCATATTCACTTGCCTATCCTCACTCATATAACTTTGCTCTGAACTATGTATCGAGCTTTGTTCTGCCGCTCCAAGGATTTTGGAACAGTATGATCTATATGTCCATCTCATGGCCGGCTTTTAAGGCGGTTTACTGGGACATCAGGAGAGGCAGTCTAGTGAGAGACCCTGGATGCAGAGGTGGAGTAGACCATGGAGGACATATCGGACAGACTTATATCTCGAACGACAGCGTTCGACGTCTGACTCACTAGTTCCAATGGTATTTGACTAGGCGACATATAATTATTCGAAGATCATGGAGTAACTAGGGCGCATGGAACCGATAGATATCAGGTAGATGAAGTGACTGTCAAGTAATATGCACGTGTGTATATAGGGAGCACAAATCCCACCATCGACACCAGCGTTACGACGATAGGGATGGTGATGGAAGAATGTAATGTCAGCTAGCCCCATCCAACAAGAGACTGGCAACCACGCATATATCTTGCCAAGTGAAGAAAGAGAAAGTCTAGAAAAGGCACTCTGTACAAACGGCCGATAGTTAGTTAATCTTGGAGGACCCACTGCGGATCTACGCCCATCATGTGACCGACGCGTTTGGCGTAGACATTGGCCCTATAGCTTTCAAACCATACTTATCAACACAACACGCTCACATACGCCGGCCAAAAGACGTAACAGAAAAGGCGGATAGATTGGAGTAAACGGGACCAAGGAACAAAACAAAGAAAATGGCCGAAGACAGCAGCAACAATCTCAATCCCTCCAGACAAGACGCCTCGCCCTCTCCGCCCCCACCAGCGCCAGTCGCTCTAACACCCGGCCCGCGCGCTACTGTCCTACAGAAGACTTTCAACCAGGCATTGTTGCGTACATTGCGAGCAAATTCCTATGCCAACTTCTCCGGGTGCTTTCCCACCCCTGCGAAACATGTTCCGGCTAGTCTAGAGTCGGTTTGGAGACAGCTGAATGCGAAATTGGAGGAAAGCGCAAGGGCGGAGTTCGAAGATATCATACACGAGAGAGATGCGATAAGGCAGTTGAATGAGTTGGATAGGTTGATGGGGGAGGCGAGGCATAGGAGAGACCGTGGACAGGGACAGGGAGATGTTGCGTATGACTTTCTTTCTTTTGTTTTTTTAACCCCCTTCTCCTTTGTCTTGGATGTCTTTTCGGTTTTGGAGAGAACAGGGGCCAGGGGGGCTCTTCTTTTCATCGATCTTGGGGGTTTATCATGGAGCCAACTTTTCGCTAACATCTCTTTTAGACCCCATACATTGACTCCGGAGGAACTATATCGCGCACGCCTTGCTCCGCATTTGCAGGAGGCTCAAGCAACTTTGAATGCGAACATAGAGTCTATACAAAGCGAAAACGTGGCGTTGTCTCAGCGGATCCAGTCTCAAAGATCGGAGATTGAGGATCTGCTGTCGAGCCTTGAGTCTGTGGTTGCAGACTTGGAGGGCGCTGCGACCGCTGCTACGCAGTTTAGTCTGGAGAACGATCTTCGCAAGGAAGCTTTACAGATGGAAGAAGAAGTCAAAACTAGATCGGATATATGATTGGTAGCTAGGTACTTGTTGCCTACGACATGCAGAACGTCACCACGCGCGAAAGAGCTGCCTTCCTGACCTGATAAAAGGGGCAGATTTACGACAGCAGTGCTTCCATATCCCGGGGGCTTAGCCACCCGTCATCCACCACGTCTTCTGCGACAATCATAAGCTCCTTAAACGCGGTGGATTTGAGCTGTTGCAATTTGTCTTTCTTGCCTTCTAAAGCGGCCGCCAGGGCTTCCTTACATGTTCCATCACGCTCTTCGTCTGCATTCCCATCCCTCCGTGCGAGAGCTGCGGCGCCTCGGTAGTATGTTTGAGCGTTCCGAAGGAGGACAGTGGCATTTTGTTGAGCCATGGTGTATTCCCACGGAGACATGCCGAGTCTCCACCTGTTCATCTCTACGTCTCCTCGTGCAACATGAATTTTGGGCAGGTTATCTGCATCAGGAAGTTTGGCAGCCTTCATCAAAGCATCCAAAGCAGCCGATAGTGATTGCCACCGCAACGATAGTGACTTTGTAAACACCTCATGGTCGTGCGAGGGAGGCAAATCCGTAACGGCTGTGTTGAATGACGTGAGCGCATCTGCTTTGCTGCAGAGGCCTTCGGGATCCGCAGAGAGGTCTAGATCAGGACCAAAGACACGTGCGATTTCTGTTTGATACGTTTCAACTTCGATCCGCCCGCTTCGGTACAGCACCTCGTTCAGAGCGCAGGTAAATTTGGCACGGGCCAAAGATGCCTCGTAATGTCTGCTAGAACCCTCAACGTATGCAGCAATCTTCTCTTGGAGCAAGTCTGCAGAGGATTCTTCAACCCAACCAAGTCCGACTCCGGGATTAAAGGTAAGCAAGTTGCAGAGGGTTGTGAGCGTCTCCAACTGTGCCACCGCTGTGTCGACGAGGGTATCCTTGGTCACTGGCTCAATCACAGCAGCCCATTGCTCTTGTTGCTCAGAAGACTTCGATTCACCTGCATCCTCTGTGCTTTTCTGCATGGGTTGCTCTTGCATTTCTCCCTGGCTTGGGCCCACATCTCCAGACTCCATCAATTTAATTTGTTCCTGCATTTCAGTATATCGCATCTCTTGAATAATGAGACAACGTTGGAAGAGCTCTATTGCTTCCTGCAGGTATTTGACTGCCCGGCAAAGCTGTGCGTCAGACGGATGTTTGGTATCCGTGACTACCTCGGCAAGGCTTGTGAGCACTTGGGCGGTGTTAAAAAGAGCATCCGCATTGTCTTGATCTAGATTGAGGGCCTCCCTGTGGGACTGTAGCGTTATGTTTAAAATATCTGCTAGTGGAGCAGGCAGTTGCGCAGCCAACTTGGGGTGCTGGGTGATTTCATATTGAACTCTTGCTCTTTTCGACGGTAAGTTTATGTCGCTGATCGCAATGGCATGCCCACTGGTGCATCTAACGGTGAGGATAGAGCTGTTTGCTTACATACTTGTTGTATGCCAAGTCAACCGCATGAGGATACCTTTTCAGGCCGTCATCATAAGTTGCAATGGCGCGCATAAAAAAGCGCATAGATTTTGCTGCATCACCAGCTCGCCATTTTTCTCCAGCCTCTTCCTGTTCGACGCCAACTGCATAAGTTTAGCTATGGCTGCATCGATGGTGGATTTAACAGTCTCTGTCCGTCTAAAGACATAGTAGGACAGTGGTGCAAGTCTGGGGTTCAGAAAGACTCACCAGCTAAGAACTCATCTGCAGTCTCTGGAGCCTGTCAAAAATGAGCAAGCGCATTGGCAAAAGGGAATGTCGGACTGTCGTGGATACGGTACCTGTTGAGTGGTTTTCCTTTTGTTCTTGGCTTTGGATTCTTTTAGAAGAGATTTTGGCTTCGGCATTTTACACTGAACTATTCTTTATTGATTTACATCAAGTGTCGATCTTGGAAGGGGGTTAACTGACCTTAGAAATCAAGAAAGTCCCATAAATGCTTGTAGTTCTGGTGTGTTTTTATCGTGACGAAGCGTTCGTGGGAAAGAATCGGGTGATCCAAGACCGCTTTCTACACCGCTTCTCGTCATAATCCCAGTGTATGTAATATACTATGTATAACTAACTAATTAACCAGCTCAGCTAGAAATCCATGAAGTCATCATGGTAGGGGCGAACATCCCGCTGTTGGTTCTTAACGCCGACTTTTAGTCATGATCTTAAGTTGAAACCAACTAGGTATGTAGTTTGTGTTTTCAATAGTCTGAATAGTATGGGTATCTTATCGAAGTGGATACGTTTCATTGCACGGACATATTGTATTCATCTGTAGTTGTATACACAAAAAAGTACTATGGCCACTAGTATCTTGCCCTGCACCCCACCTGAACCTTGAAGGCCAATATGCATGGATGATGGATGCTCAGTTTCCAGCTTCCACAGTAGTCGTAGTAGTACCTAGTCGAGCCAACGCGGGTGCAACAGAGGATCAACCCGCGTGGCTGCCTCTGCACGTGGCAGTCTAATCAAATATATTTTGTACTGTAGCTGTTGAAAGAATGCAAGCCTTTTGCTTCAGATGCTATGTATGTAAATCAAAGAACACATGAATTCCCTTTGTCTTCTTTACTCACTCACACAGGAAAAAAAATCCCTCTGACTTAGCTGAAGTTCCCCCCTCAATACCCGAAACGGGTGATCAGCACTTTCAAGATTTTCATTGCTGTAACAAATGATTTATATCTACGTAGTTTAACGGAGTATTTAAGATACGAACGAGTTTTTTATGTATTAAATTGTCATCCCTACACATCATGGCTAGGTCAATAGATCATTGATTTTGGATTGATCGAAGCAGATTTGAACTATGGATCTTGCTTTGTTGTAAAATACTATGAGAGAAAAAGAAAATAAAAGAAAGAACAAGAATAAGAAAGGGAAAAGGAAACAAAAGCTGGTCAACGGCCAACGATTCCCGCGTGGCCGAGTTTAATCCTCTTGAGACGTAAGACCCACATTGTCATCCGTTGCCCTTCGGCTCTCCTGAATCCTCTGCTGCATGTTACTTGGTCTACAAGCCCTCTCTCTAATCCTCTCCCAGACCTTTTTCCTTTTCCTTTTCCTTTGCTTTACTTTTTGCCTTCTCTTTTAGTTTCTAGGTCGCCCTGCGATATACTCGATCAGGGGTCGGAGTCTGACTCTGTATTTTCAGGTATGTTTTAACTGACTGTCAGCTTTGCCGCTTGCCCCATACTATCTCTGCAGTCTAATTTATTCCCGCTTACTATCATCTACCCCTTATCCATTTCAGTAATATCTTCTTCTACTTATCGTGTTCGCGTTAATCCGAGATAAAATTCTCTGCAATGTACTAACCTCGGCAGGCTACTTCCTGAGTAGTTTAGCACTCGTCTGCCTGCGCTCGATTCTCAAGCATAACCACTCATTGCTTTCGGCAGTCGGCCTACAAGGACTTGATCACAGTACCAATATTATCATGGCTAGGCATCAATCGCTTGACTCTGAGAGACCGATCATGGCCCCTTCTGTAGGTTCACCGGTTATTATTCATCTGCGACGGACCAGATTCTCTGACCATGGATCTAGACCCGAGCGTCGAAAAGATTTTCGACCGTAAGCGGAAACCCTTCGATTGCTTCGTCAGGTACTATTGGAAGCCTACCAAGTGGCGATCCTCGTTTGGCCGAATTCCATCACTTGCGCGACGGGTTGGAGCGCCTGGAGAACAAACCTCTTCAGAAGCAACGCTTCGTCCCTACTCCCGAAAAGAGCGATAACTTGAGCAAGCTGGCTCTGAGTGCGAAGGTGGAACGAGCTCTTGACCGGAGAATGACTGGTCAGGATGCTGTCATGCGCAAGCCAGTTTTGAACGAGAAGGCTGCTGCTGAGTCTACAAGCTCGTAGACGAACTGTGGTCTACCCGATAAGTTTCATATACACACTTTGTCTTGATACCTATTTTTGGTCCTTAATAATTTTTTTGAGCACCTGTTTCTCTGTTCTCCTTTTGCTTGCCCATGTTGCATGCTCCGCGGCTTTCTTTGGTGAACCACGTGAATGAGTTTCTGTATCTGCTATACGTCTTCGTTGATGAGAAGTCTGACCTCTCATATCCCTCATACCCCTCTTCCAAGCCAGCTATTTGTTCCCGATATTATGGTTTTCTTTACATTCAATGCGACCTTCTGAGTGAATCTTCGTCTCCGATGAGTGTAACTACTTACTCAGAAATGACAATAGACCTTAATGTGATTGGTATACGAATATAGTTCCTCATTGATGATAGTGATCCTTTGGACAAAAGCATTTTCAACATGTCCCAGTGGACGGGTTGCAAGTTCCGATCTGGCCCCTTGGATCCCCCTACAGTCAGATGTAGGAGCTGGAATTCTATTTGCATTGGCTGCTATACTACCGGATGATTCACCCAGCATGCAGTGATGTAAACGGAATGTCCGATGGAGATCCACCGGCGAGTTAGGCAGGCGGTAAGGGAAGGAAATGGGGCGCTAAGAGGCGCCGCACTGCAACCGACCTTTCAAGTCCAGGTCAACTCATTTTGCAAACTGCTAAGCATCCCGTCGCTTTCCCTCTCTTTTCCTCTTTCCTATCCAGCTGTTAGCTACCCACCTACCACCTTCTTATCCCATTCTACTCTCGACTATTCACCATTCATCGGATTTTTCCTGTTGATTACCCTCTCCCCATCGATTCTCAACGTGTTCAGTTCCTTTCGACTATCTTCCCTCTTTCCGCCTTGTTCGCAAATTTGACCTGATTGGAAATCGCACAAGAATCTTCCTCTATTTCCTTCTTGCACCACTACGACGCAAACGCTTGTAACGCAGACGTTCTCCTTTACTTTCATTTCATTGCATCTATAAGGGTCTATTGGTTTTCTTTCTAGCATTGTGAGAATTGCCCTTCCCCGCTCTTTTTTCCCAACGATACACTTGGCCTTCAATTACTGACAGGCATGGGGGTTAGTAAAAGCGAACGAGGAAAAGTCACTAGATTTCTTAGCCTCTACTCATTATCACATAGAGGTTCACTGCTCATATACCTCTACTTTCTACCTTACGACACCCTAGACCATTTCTGCTTCCATTTCCCATACCGACCTAAAACACCTTCGATAACACAATGGCCGATACTCAAGCCCCTGTTAACGGCAATTACCCTGTACCCCACGCCTATCATGACTCTTACAACCATGCCCACGCTGTTGCCAACAATGCCTCGAATTTCCAGCCAGCGCAATCTACCACTCCCACTAATGTCCCGCCTAGTGAGCAGAAGAATGCGATCTCTAAGGACGAGGTCGGTTGGTATTTTGTTGAGCAATACTATACCAATATGAGCCGTAGTCCAGACAAGTTGCATCTTTTCTACTCTCGGCGCTCGCAGCTTGTCTTTGGAACTGAAGCAGAGTCGGTTCCTGTTGCTGTGGGCCAGAAGGTGAGTTCACTTCCTTCACTCCTAGGTGTTTTCTTCCATTGAGCTTTATTGACTTTACCCCCTCAATTTAGGCTATCAATGAGAAAATCAAACAGCTTGACTTCCAAGATTGCAAAGTCCGTGTTTTGAACGTCGATTCTCAGGCTTCATTTGACAACATCTTAATCTCCGTCATCGGTGAGATCTCCAATAAGTCCGAGCCGTCTCGCAAGTTTATCCAGACCTTCGTTCTTGCTGAGCAACCCAATGGATACTATGTTCTCAATGATATCTTCAGATACTTGGTTGATGAGGAGGATATTGTGAATGAGGAGCCCGCTCCCGCTGCGCCTGCCGAGCCTGTCGAGCCTGTCGAGCCTGCCACAGAGCCGGCTGCGGATGAGCCCGCACAGCTTGAGACCGAGAGTGCCCCGACTGCGGAGCCCCAGGATGCCAACGAAGTCACAGCTGCCAAGGTGGACGAGAAGCTTGAACAGGTGGAAGAAAAGGCCGAGGAAAAGCAACCGGAGGAACCTGCACCTCAGGCCAACGGAACCGAGGCACAGAGCAGCGAGGATGTTCAGGAACCTCCCGCCTTGGCTGAATCTGAAGCTTCTAAGACGGAAAAGCCTGCGACTCCGGAGCCTACGCCTGCCCCGACTACCCAGAAAGAAACTGCTGCTCCGGCCAAAGAGCCTGTTGTACCCGCCAGAGCCGTACCAAAGACCTGGGCCAACATTGCCTCTAAGTCCGGTGCTACTGCCCCTGTTGTGCCTGCCATCCCCGTTGCTCCTGTTAAGCCGGCGCCTGTTACCAGCTCCGCCCAGTCTGTTCCTACCCCCCCTGCTGCGGCTGCCACACCTACTCCTGCTGCTGAGAGCACTCCTAGCCAGCCTCCCTCCAACGATGGATCTGGCTGGCAAACTGCTGGTCACGACCATAAGAAGACCCAGCCTCGTGCGGGTGATGACCAGAATGTTATGGCTTATATCAAGAACGTCACCGATAAGGTCGATGCAAACTTGCTCAAGCAGACTTTGTCCCGCTTTGGAAAGCTCAAGCATTTCGATGTGAGCCGCCAGAAGGTAGGTTCCGCCGTGAAGTCTCAATTACTCGGAAAGAAGGAAGCTAATTGCCATCAGAACTGTGCTTTTGTTGAGTTCGCTGACCCTGCCGGCTACACCGCTGCTGTTGCTGCCAACCCGCATCAGATTGGAAGCGAGCAGATCTCCGTAGAGGAACGCCGTTCTCGTACTAGCGCCTATGGGGGAAATACCAACTATGGCGCTGGTCGGGGTGGCTCCGGCCGTGGTCGCGGCGACCGTGCCGGCAGCCAGGGCCGGGGTGGCTTCCAGCGTGATGGTCGTGGTGGCTTCGCTCCCCGTGGCCGTGGCGGCAGTGGCAACGTCAATGCTAAAGCCCGCAACCAGGCACAGACTGCTTAGAGCAGATCACTACTTCGTCTTTCTCTCAAACGGAGAGGCGGGAAAAATAAGAACAAAAATAAACAAAAATAAAAGAAAACTACCGGAATCAGGGTGAAGATTATTCATTGCACGCTGTCTTTTTCTTCTTGTGCCCCCATTTCCTCTTCTTTCTTTTTCTCCTTTCCCCCCTCTCCTGCTGGTCATTCAACTCTTAGTCCTTCATCCTGGCCCGCAACAGCATACAGGTTCAGATGCTTATGGTGACCCAGGACATGTATTACTTCCTCTTATTGATAATGACATGTGTTATGTGACCCATTCATCTGTCACACTGCATATTAGCGGTTGGAAAAGTTGTTCTTTCATATCTCATCAACAGGGCTTTCTTTTCCTTATTGGTCTGTGCTTTCATGACGTTTTGTTTCTGTGAATGTGTTGTCATGACCTATTCAACTATTTCTTGCTTCTAGCATAGCGAGCTAAATGCCCGTATTGTTCTCTCAGGGTCTTATTTCTATTTTGTTTACAGTTGTTCCAATCTAACTTCTTTTCTTTATCTGTGCTTCATCTCATTTAGAAACTGTAAACTGGGTGGTGGCCACTGTCTTGTCTTGTACCATGCTACACTTGTTTGATACACGTCCTATTCATGGGGAGCTCCACGGTGTGGGTGGCAAATGACTGTTTCCCTTTACAGGCACAGTGGCTCTTACTGAGCCACCTTATCCAATCCATCATGCAAGGAGGAGGGAAGGAACGGGTGCCTGCTTGTTCCTGTGTAGTTGCACATGTATTACGAGGAATTGTCCGGAATTAACTATCTGAAAGTGAATTTTGCAGACTGTCCCGTCTCAGCTCAGCTCAGCTTCCCTGTGTTCCGATAGATATGGATTGTTTTCCACTTCAGAAGTGGCATCGATATGAGGTCAGTGAACCTGGTCGGAGGAGGGCTCTGGTTGGATTGATTCTTGTGATCTTGATTACAATGTTTGTTTGCCAGGTCCCAGCTTCAGGGAAGGCTGGAGATAAAGTGGGCCGGAAGATTACAGTAGACAAGGTATGTACACTGTACATGGTACCTGATGCTGGGTACTTGGGAAATCGATAGCTCCTAGAAAGTTCCATTATGGCGGAGTGCTGGGGACGGTATTAAGTAGTATTGTATATTGTATGTACTGTACTTGGAAGGTACGGTACGTACTCGTATACGCAAAATCTACATTCCGCCGACGATCGATGGTGGAGCGGAACGTTCTAGATTGGTAGCCTGAGGCACCAAGAAAGTGAAGTAGATCGGAACTCAGCTTTCGGAGGGGGAGGGGCAACAGAACAAAAGGGGAAGGGAATGATCGGTAAAAGATGAATGGAGGGGGAAATGAATAAAAAGATTGGACATGTTTAACAGGATGCCAAATAGAACCCAATTGAATGAACTAGAATTTTTGG